ACAACACCTCCTCTTTGTGCACACCAAATTTCATTAAAATCGGATTAACCGTTTAGAAGTTACCGAATTATTTCCCTCTTTTTTTTCCTATACCACTGTGGGCCGGGCAATTACATAGAAGGTGAGTAATTGTTTCCTCTTCTTCCTCGTTTTGATAGCTCCTACAAAAGTCATTGTATGGAAGACCAATGAGTCTTGCATGGTTTCCGAACTTGGAATGACCAGTAAGAACTGATAACAGAGTGCTCAGATGTGTTCTGCTTAGCCCTAATATATAGGATGTTTTATGAGGATCCTTATAAGACCATAGCATCTTAGCAATCGAGCAAGTATGTTCTTGAGACCATACTGAACTAAAACAAATGTTGTGTATTTGTTTCTTAATGTCCGCTAAGGGGACGCCGCAGAATTTTGTCTATATCCAGTATGGCCATTCTCGTACCAGCTTTCGCCAAGATATCAGCAATAGTATTGCCAATTATATCCCCGTGTCCTTTGACCCAAACGAGGGTAATTCTTGAATGTCTCGCCATCTCTTTGAGAGACGCCCGGCATTCTTGGACAAGTTTTGATGCAGAATATACACCTATCAGGGATTGGATAGCGGCTTGGCTGTCAGTATAGATTCTGATATCCCTATTAAATATCCGATCGGAAAGGGATTTTCGTTCCAAATTCTTCAATGAAGATTCCACCGCCGACACCTATAGTTGTTTTAGAACCATCTGTATACACATTTAGGCCGTCAACACCTGCAGGTGAAGGTTCATTATAATCAGGGATTATAATGCAAAGTTCCGGAATACAGTAGTCAGAGTCATGTTGTAGATTTGGGAGAAAATCTACAATCTTTGCATGACCTCTGCATCCAAAGATCCATCTATTTGTGATAGTTAATCTGGCTGCAGTACTCATTGCCAGTTGTTTAGCAAGGAGATCCACAGGAAGCCAGTTCAGCATAGCGAACAACGCTTTACTGGGCGTCGTCCTAAGAACACCTGTTATGAGAAAAGCCGTGTGTGAGAGAGAAAGTGAGAGTGTTTCTGTTGGATGATATGTCAAGTGCATACCACCAGACAATGACACCATACATCATTATCGGCTTAATCACCGCCTCATATAGCCAATGTAGATTTCCTGGGTTGCAGGCCAATGCAGGCCAATAGCCTTTCTACAGACGTATAACACCGTAATAGCTTTTGAAGATCTGGAGATAATATTCAAACCCCAAGACAACTTACTATCGAGAATAACACCTAAGTATTTTGCATTATTCGACAGCGTGACAAACTCGCCGTTTAGACGAGGAAGGGAGAATTGAGGAATTTTGTATTTGCCATAGAATAATACAAGTTCCGTTTTTCCTGGGTTAACGCTGAGGCCACAGTTTACGCTCCATGGGCTTATTACCTTCAACGCTTCTTCTCTGAGACATAGTCTCAATGTGCGTACCAGATACCGCTACTGCAAAATCGTCAGCGTATGCAACCGTTTTAAAACCTAGTGAATCAAGTCTAACTAAGAGTCCATTCAGAGCCATATTCCATAAGAGTGGGGATAACACCCCTTCCTGAGGAGTGTTCTGTATAGCTCTTTTCTGAAGTCTTTTTCCCTTGTGTGTGATGTCTTACCATCTTTTGGGATAAAATTCACGTTACACTTGGTCCACTGTGAAGGTAATTAGGACCAGTAGATACAGGACTTGTAAATAGTACTAAGCCAAGGAATGATCAGATCTATATTATATTGTAGATCCGCTGGAATAAAGCCATCAGGGTGATTTATAGGTTTCGAAACTCCTAATTGCCCAGCGGATGATGTAATCGTCTATCTTAACATTCACATCAGTTGTTACAAGTTCGACACCATACTGATCATGCGTAACTGATTCACCAGTTGAGATGCACACTTGGTCAACTCTGAAGGTATGTAGGGCCAGTAGATACAGGCCTTGTAAATAGTACTAAGCCAAGGAATGATCAGATCTATATTATTTTGTATATCCGCTAGAATAATGCCATCAGGGCCAGGTGATTTATAGGTGTCGAAACTCATAATTTCCCAGCGGATGATGTAATCGTCTATCTTAACATTCACAGCAGTGTTTACAAGTTAGACACCATACTTATCATGCGTAATTGATTCACCAGTTGAGATGCAACCGGTAAAATGAGTATTCAGGACTACCTGCAGTCCAATTTTCTTCCACTTTTTGTATATAGCTTGGGACAGAAGGGAATTTGGACAGGATTTTTCGAAGACGACTTGTATATGAAGAGCTTTCTATAGAACTACAGAATTTTCTCCAGGATCTGCGTTTCGCACTACGTACCTGATTTTTAAATTCATTAACTTTTGACTTATAAAGAGATTATATACCAGATCTCTTTGCCTCGTTAAATAATCTACGACACAACTTGCGGGTTTTCGCAATTTCGGGATCCCACCGAGGGGGTTTAGCCTTATGATTACCTTTCGATGATTTACAAGCCCTATTTGTGGCAACACTAATGGAGCTTGAAATCCAATTTACGGCTACTTCGATGTCCCTTCTGTTTTCGATGGTTGGGGCAGAAGGAAGAATATTAGTCAAGGCCGACTTATAGACCTCCCAGTTTGTCTTTCTCCTATTGAGAAATGGTTTCGCAATCTATGCTTGAACTATTATTTCAAATTCTACATAGCAATGATCAGAGGGAACACATCTGCGCCCATAATCAGCGGCATATGCCGTCTTTCAGCTTCGCGCACAATATTTCTGACCAGGCGGTTTGGAGACCGGTCGCCATGTAGCTGCTTAGAAGCCAGATTTTGGAGTTGCCAGACTCCCAAGCAGCCGCAACAGTATCCTCATCGCTGTAATCAGACAGGATAAAGATATTTTAATGGTTCTTATCCAAAATACAGGCTCTTATATTACCTGAGCAGATTGCATATAGAAGTTTATAGCCTCTAATAGACAGTCACACGAACATTACCATGGTGGGTCCACGGTTCCTGGACAAGGATTAGCTCCTCCCCTCTTTCAGTTAAACGGAGGAGGAGGGCAGCAGATGCTGCCTTGGAGTGGTGACGGTTAATCTGCGTTACCTTCACCATCTCCTAGGTCAGGATCATATACGACGGTTTCGTCGACATCCTCCGGACCAGTATCCGAAAGGGTGTCGTCTTCCTCTGCCACTTTCAGATCAACAAGGAGTTCTCCCAATTGACCTGTGGTCGACTGAGAGTTCTCCCCGCCTTCTGAAATAGCGGGATCGTCGAGGTTGTCTTCATCCTTCTTAGGCGGACCCTCTAGCTTAACACTAGAGGTAGCGGCGTTGCGTTTGTCATCACTGCGGTAGATACGGAGAGTGATGCTAGCAAAACCATAGTACACATTGAACACCTTCACCACCTTCCAATCACTGGTAGGTAAATGAGGGTTTCCGCTCCCAAGGAGCGCCAAAATCTCCTCCGGGTCGTGTGGCTCAGTTGGGATCGAGGCAATGGATCTCGGTCTGCACACATACCGGGATCACGTCCAACAAAGCACCTGGCCATACTTCCCCGAGGAAATCCATTGCCAGCTTAAGAAGTAACGCAGAGCGCTCATTCGAACAGGCCAGCAGTTTTATGTGACCCTGGAACCATCCAGCGTTATCATTTTGAGGGACGGGTTCCGGATTTTCCTTAAGGATTTTCCAGTTCATCCCAAGCATTCGTTGACAGATGATCCCCCATTTGTCCTGGGAGATGGCACCGTCACTGTTGCTCCTGTCGATAATAGCCCTTACCAGTGGGTTTTTGGCAACCTCACTGAAAGGTCTATTAACGACGACAGTTTGCGCCTTTTTGGGACGTTTAGTCGTCGGCTGAATATTCGACAAAGAATGGGACTCTTTCTCGGATCTCTGCCGTTTAGGCGCCTCCGCAGCAGACTTAGTCACTTCTGCGTTGGCTGGAGGATCTCACAACAGATAGAGGTACCTCACCGCTTGGGACCTTACCCACAACTGAAGGTTGTGTGGTGGGATTGGTTTACAAGCAGCCAGCTTGGGCCGACAGCTTGCGGATTTTGTTGTCATTGTTATTGCTCAAGTATCAACGAAACTTGTTGGAAGGTTTAATACTTTGAACATTAATATGTCCAATGATAAAATAATTACTATCTCTAGCAATAGGACCTTCATAAGTTTTCATTATGAAACATATAAAATAACAAAAGTATCAGTTGCTGTGGAGGGACGTATATAAAAAAAGAACGTATAGGAAAAGCCATTTTAAATTCATATACTATAACTATTACTATTTTTTAAGAATTAAAAAAATATATAATTAAAATTATAAATCTTTCGGAATAATATTGGTGATTGGATATTAAAATTGAAAGTTTAGATGTTTATAATTTCTGCTCACATAAGTTTTAAAGGATAACAATTCCACTTATTAAATTGTTCAAGACTGAAGGGTAACAATAAGACAATTATGCACTATTCAATTACGTTAGTTTGCTCACTTGGTTTTCACTTGGTTTTTACTATATAAGATAATTGGAAATTTTCTAAAAAAGCACAAAAATTAGAATAATATAAACCAACAGATAAACAAAATACAATTTTAATTAGAATTTAAGCAAATATGTATGCTCGTCCCACGCACTCGTCGATCTTTTAATGTTTAAATGCGTAAAAATATTACTTTTCCTAAATAAATAAAAAATATATATAAAATCTAATAATAATAAATATAATAAAAATAATATTTTTGGCAACACTTTTGCATTGTTGTTACATTATCTGAGGAAATGGTTCTTTACAACCCTGTTAATTCAATCTTTAATAAATCAATATATTGCATATTTTAGATAATTGTAAATATTTATATGAAAATTAGTAAAATAATTCTTGTAAAAATAACGGCGAAAGCATTTTAAAAATTGGTTTCGGTCTCCAAATTGTATATGTGTGTTAGATCGTTTTATAATAAAAAAAAATTATTTATTTTTTATCTACTTACAGGTCCTCCGTAGAACGATTTTCAGAAAAGGAATTTGAAATTAACTTTCTTCGTGCAATTATACCACTTTTTAACAAAACAATAAAGAAATAAATATAAATTATAAATAAACTCAAATTTATGGTGTTTAAAAGTTCATTAAAGAGGGAGTTACGTAATTTTTAGTTATGGATAGTGTGTTTTCCCGGAACGGAAAAACTAGAAAAGGTAAGGTATTTTGGTAACATTGATTGCATTATATTTCAAGACTACCCACCAAAAAGAAGTAGAATTTTCACTACAAATAACATACTTGAAGTACTTCCAATTTTGGAAGCAAGGTACATATCAGGAACTTATACTGGTTGAAACGGAGTGAGCTGAGCCTGTAATACTAAACATTTTCCCTTTTAGCCCATATGGGAGCCAAGCACCATTTGGTGAAGAATTGTGGCAACATATGTGGGTCAGGATCGTTGTCCAGGTTCTCGTTCATTATACCAACAGGGGAGAGATAAGCTGAGCCTGACCATTGTAGACCTCTTTCCAACTCATGAATTTCATTCATCAGGGAAGGCTTGGACTCCAGAAGTGTCATATACGTAAGTATTTGAGTACCCCCTCGTGTGACTTACATAATGTTGGTTGATACACTTTCGCAAGATCCTCCGTTCAAATATTTCCAATTCTTTGGCCACTATTGGCGAAATAGTGAGCCAGATTGGAAATCCATATAACAAGACAGATCTCAGGCGCGGATCCAGCTCAAGCGTTTGGGGGGGGGGACTTTTTTTCGGTCGGTATATATTTTTATACGCAATATTTGATATGAGAATCGAAACCTTTTGAAGATTTTGTATTAGTTTTTAGTTAAAATACCGGGACATTTCAAAAATTCTCGTTTTTTCGATTTTTATGAAAATTGGTATAAATACTAATTTTAAGGTTTTCCAAAATTACCAAATTCATTACAGTTTGGTTTTTACGGGGATTAAAGTTTATACTTTTAAGATTTTTATCAAGAAGCATAAAATTTAAAATTATATTAGGTAGGTAGGTAGGTAGGTTGATAGGAGGATGTATACTACATCAAATCCGAAGAAATACACCTAGGCCACTATCGGGCCTGTTGTGCGCTCCAATTCAAGAAAAAAAAAAAAAAAAAAAAAAAAAAAAAAAAAAAATTGTTCACTGAATGTATTATTTTTCCATGTTCAGAAACTCAGTTTCCTGGACGTAATTCCTAAGAATCTTCCAATCGGTGTTGGTTAAGAATGTTATTTCTGGAATAACATCACTTCCAAGATACTTGGATCTAACTTCGACGAATGCCTGACAATGGCAAAGAAAGTGCTCCAGAGTTTCACTGTCCTCTCCACATGCTCTACATTCGTCTGAATTCGCACGTCCAATTTTGTATAGATGTGCTCGTAATCCTGTGTGTCCACTGAGAATACGTACCATCATACTAACCTCAGACTTGCTCATTTTGAGAAGATTTCTCGTCTTGCTCTCATCAGGGTCACCCCATAGAATCTTTGTGGTTCTACCCACCGTTTCATTATTCCAAGAGGCCTTATGGGATTCTCTCATCCATATTTTTAATTCAGCTTTTGTTGCGTCGAATGGTTTTGCGTTTGTCAGGTTAACTACATCGAGCTCCCTTCCCTTTAAAGCTATTACATTCGCCCTTTCGTTGCCGGCTACTCCCGAGTGGCCTGGTACCCATATGATGTGAACCTTACCTCTGGGAGAGTATTCAGTTAAAGCTTTCTTACAATCCAATACGGTCTTAGATTTAATTCTATCACCTGATATCGCACAAATTGCCTTCTGGCTGTCGGTAAATATATTAAGCCCTGTGGGCGCCATATTTATTCTAATCCAATTTACACATTCCGTTATTGCTCGTACTTCTGCCTGGAAGCTTGTGTTATGATTAGGTAAACGGTGGTATATTTCTGTTTCTGGGTCTTCAATATAGAACCCCAGACCCACTTTGTCCCCTAATTTAGAGCCATCCGTGTAGCAACGGATTCCTACTGGTATTTGCTCTAATGTTCCGCTTGACCAAGACATTCTATCTGGGATTAGCGTTTCAAAGTTTCCGACATATTCAGTGTCTGGTATGCGATCAGGCACGTCCGATGAATGTGTATAACCTTCCAATGTGTCCAGTATACATTGATGACGTGTCCTATAACCGTTTTTGGCCAGTTCGCCTAAAGTAAAGAGCCGTTCGGCTGTAAGCGCCGCCTCATATCTTATATATGTTTCAATGGGTGGAATATCTAGCAACGTTTCCAGAGCCTTGGTTGAAGTAGTACACATGGCACCACTTATACCCAAGCAGCATGTACGCTGAACTCCCTGTAGTAGTTTGATATTACACTTTTTGTCCAAAGCAGTCCACCAGATTATTGAAGCATAAGCTAGAATTGGTCTAATTACACTTTTATAAAGCCAATTTGTCATAGTAGGACTAAGACCCCATTTCATGCCTATGGTTCTCCTACATATCGCCCAGCACCGATGTGCCTTGTTGATCCTATCCTCTATGTGGTGTCTCCATTTTAATTTCCGGTCAAGTATTACACCTAAGTACTTAACTTTGTCTGTCACCGGTATCTTCTTGCCCAAGAAGCAAGGTTCAGTATATGTAGAAATTTTTGTCTTTCTTGTGAAAAGACAGATTTCCGTCTTCGCCGGGTTAACATTGAGGCCTCTCGGTTGAGCCCAGCTCAAGGCCGTATTCAGAGCCTCCTCAGCTCTTCTACACAAGTAATTTGGATCCTTTCCCTTTAAAAGTATTACGACATCGTCTGCATAGCAGACAGGTCTAAGTCCTTTCTCGGTTAGGGTCCTTAGGAGGCTATTAATCGTGGTGACCCAGAGTAAAGGTGACAAAATGCCACCCTGTGGTATACCGCGAAATACCTTTTTCCTGATAGTTATATCGTACATCTCGCAGCTTATCCATCTGTTCCTTAGCATGTAGTTGATCCAGTTACGGAGCACCCGGTCAACATAAAACTGGTCTAGGGATTGGATAAGGGTATCAGTGTGCACGTTATTGAAAGCGCCTTCGATGTCAATGCATACTGCCAGTGTATACAGTTTGCTATCGAAAGATTCACTTATGTAGTGGACAACTTCATTTAAAGCGGTCTCCACCGATCGTCCCTTTACATAAGCATGCTGCTTATATTTAAGGTCATTGTATGGTATGCTGCTTTTAACCATGCTATCGACTATCCGTTCCAAGGTTTTAAGTAGGAAGGACGTAAGACTTATCGGTCGATAGGACTTAGGTGTCGCATAGCTAGGTTTCCCTGGTTTGGGTATAAATATTACCCTTGCATCCTGCCATTTAACTGGGGTATATGCCAATTTTAAGCATGCAGTGAATATCTGTGACAGATGTACGGAAACCAGTCCCGCCTCCATCTGCAAAAGTGCCGGGAAAATTCCATCCGGCCCTGCAGCTTTATAGGGAGCAAAGCTCTTGATTGCCCCTTTAACCATGTCAGTTGTAATAACTATTTCCGTGTTACCCTCCCCTTCCTCCAATATCGGTTCATCTATGTTATTCGATATACCGGGTGGGAAATGAGAATCCATTAGGAGTTTCATTGTCTCCTCCATATCCTCAAGCCTCCTGCCCGTGTCATCGATCATAGATTCCGGTTGGACATGAGTTTTGGATAGGAATTTTTTTATCTTCGATACCTCACTTACGCTATCTACCTGTTCACAGAAAAGTTTCCAGGAGTCTCGTTTGGCTCTTCGAACGATTTTCTTATATTCACCAAGTTTATTACGATACTCATCCCAGTATACTGCGGTCTTTTTACGCCGTGCCCGGTTAAATAGTTTGCGAAGAGTCTTCCCAAGGTTCCGGATCTCCCCAGTTACCCAGGGTTTTTCCTGGGCAGATCTCCGCTCTCGCAGAGGGCAGCTGTCCTCGAACGATTCAACCAGGGCACTTGTGAACGTTTCCACTTTGGCATCTATATCCTCTTTATTTCGACATTGAAAAATGTCCTGACCTAAACGGTTCTTTAGTAAGGCCCCGAACATTGTCCAATTAGTTTTAGACTTATTCCGAAACTTTATCGGCTTTGGTGGTGGCCTTAGTATTTTGAATCTTATGTACCGATGATCAGAAAAGGAGTGCTCGTCCGAAACTCTCCAATCCTGAATTTCGTTTATAAGCTCTTCTGAACATATAGTTATATCTAATACTTCTTCTCTGATTCTATTGACGAAGGTAGCTTTATTACCTAAGTTCAATGTTATCAAGTCTTTAGTATTAAAGAAATCCATGAGGGCTTGTCCCCTGCGATTGGTGTTTGTACTACCCCAAGCTACATGATGCGAGTTGGCATCACAACCTATTACAATTTTCTTATTTTTCCTTTGTGCCTCTTCAACCAGTTTCATCAGATCCGACGTTGGTGGTAGGGTCGGAGAATCGAAAGGCAGGTAAATAGATGCAAGGTATATGTTGCCTCGACCTTGCTTCAGCACCGTTGCATCCGATGTTGATAATCCTGTTGAGAGGAGAAAACATAAGTTCTTGTGACATAAGATACATGTTCTCGGGCGAGATCCTGTATCAGCGTAGAAAAGTTGGAAATTTACGTGATTTAATCCAGAAACCTTGTTGCGAATCGTCCAAGGTTCCTGGATTAAAGCTATATGTATTTTACCTGTGTTGATTTTAGCATCAGAGCGTTGGTAGCTGTCTCGCTCCGATGGAGGTTTATTTGGATAACCTCAATCATGGTCATCCATTAAACTGTCTTCCAGCGAGTTGGTGGTCACCTCCTCGCTCTTTGGATTTGACTCCTCCGGATAGCCTGAAGTGGCTATTAATGCAGTGAGTACTGTTGATGGCACTGCGGTGTCCTTATCAGGCATAGGAATAGCAGTATTTTTAATAGACACATTCCCAATTCTGGAGAGCATTGCTGTTCTGTCTTCTGGCGGGTGAGTGATTTCCTCCTCGCTTTTAGGATTTGACTCCTCAACATTGCTAGTACTTGCTAATGATGCTTTGGGTACTGTCTTAGGTGTTTTAGTGTCCTTGTCGGGGCCGGTTTTGACAGCCCTTTCAATCGGCGCCTTCCCAATTT